CTTAGAAAAACAGGAAGCATGCAGATTTAAATGCCTTTTTAGAGCACAGAATAATCCCAAGTCTTGTCAGTTAAGTGTGCCAGTCCAATTCAAATCTGTTTTAAATCACTGTTCAGTTCTATCCTGCACACGTCCTTCTTTAGAATTATAGATTTACTTCAGAATGATATCCTACTGGTTTTGAACTAATGTATTTGCCTCCAGTGTTTTTAGAAAGAAAAAGCTCTTCAACAGTAGTAATTTTTAATGTGTTGGAATCTGCTAAACTGAGTAAGAATATTTCCACTAATACCAATAAGCTTTGGACTAGACCCACAGAGAATTTTAACTGATAATCAGCATTTAAAACACATTTTCTTATCAAATTATGTATATTGTCAGTATCAAATGTTCTATGACACCTTCTGTACATAACTATAGAAGTTATCTATAGGTAACTCCTATAGTTATCTAAGGTATCTTGCAGAACATTTTATTTTGCAAAATACATTTCCATATTTTTGGTCTAAACAGTAACTTCAAAGAATTAATACAGTATATGTAACTACAGCATATAATTAAAAATCCTTTATAAACAGTCTAATTTAGTTTTCAGGTTATGAATGAGTGAGTAATAGCATGCAGAACAGTTTGCTATATACATTAAAAAACATGGATTAAAATATAGATGAGAATTAGCAATCAAACTGCTGACTGCTGTTTCTCTTTCTCTCTCTCCATTCTGACCTATCTAGTTAATTTTTCTTGTTCTCTTTCTCGTGGTTTTGACAGTATTTCCAAGTCAGAATACAAAATACTTCTAAATTTCTCATCAGATTTAGCATAATCATATTATAGACATTTACTTAAGAGAAAACCTGGACCTAGTGTCATATCTTCAGCTTATTTTTATTTTAGTTCTCAAGGTTCCAGGGGATGAGGGATATAGGGAATGCTAAGAATTACATTTCTTTTACAAGAATTATTTGCTGAGAAACTCTTATTTTGTATCATCGCTGTCATTATCCTTGGGTTATCAGACTTAGGATTAAGACAACTGAAAGCCGTGCAATACAGTTAACACCTTTTTACTATTTTGCATATTTTTTTCCTAATACTACTTTAATGACATCAGTTAGTAATCAATTCTTTAAGCTTAATTTGCTTACAGATATGATGCCACTTGTACAAGATCTGCTGTCTATGGTGCTGAGGCAGAATTTAATGATACACAGAGAGATGGGTGGGGTTTTTATTTGTTCACCACTATTGTAACTCAGGATCAGTATCTGAATATGGGGCCTGGAAGCGTGAATGGCTTTATTGGCTGTGATGCAGAAGAATGAAACATGAGAGCACACATCCAGTAACCAAGCCTGGTTACCAAGCACTGAGAACACTGCATAGAGCTCCCATAAAAAGAAATAAAGCTCTCATAAGGAAAACACAACATAACATCTAATTATAATGAGAAATTAAAAACTTATTCAAAGCATAATAATCTATGATCATTTACATCCCAAAAGGTGAAGAAAGGCAACAACTATATGACACTTTCTAAAATAATTGTGCTGATTATTTATGTAGCTGATGTAAGTATTTAAGGCAACTCAATAACATCCTTAGAGTAATGAGGCAAAGTCGTTTAGACCAAAATATATGGCATTATTAAACTCAAAGAGTGTAATTTAAAACTCTAAAACATTGGAGTTTGCATTAAGAGGGTTTATTTCATCAAGATTCCAGGTAAACACCATCATGAGATATTCTTACTTCAGTGCTGTGTGCACCTCATTTTGTGATAGTGGTTTGCTTACACTGACTGAGAAAAAATGTTTCCCCATGGCTACTGTTGCTATAGGTGATGTTTCAATTGCTGCTTTACTGTGGAAGAATGTTCTTGAGAGAAGGAATATATCAGCAGAATTTTCTGAAATCCTAAAATAATCATGAGTGATTATTTCCTGAAATAATCATTAAGACACATTATGACACTTGATTGGAATTTGAAATAGGTCTGTTCTAAAATTTTTCTACAAAATTAAATGAGGCAGTTAGTACTTCAGTACTGCTCACCTTATCTTTAATTGAGATTAGTGTTATTTCCATTTCCCCATCGTTTTCAATGTGTAGCTATATGATAAAAGGCAACACATCACTCAGGACCAATGCTCTTGTAGTACCTTATCAAGAGTTCACTCTCAGCATTCCTACACGGATGGCAACCAACAGTCCTTTATCTCTATTTCACTGTGAAGGACATAAATTCAGCATTTGCCATAGAGTAAAAGCATGAAGATACAGCAGATGAAGGCTGTCTGCTTGTTAAACCAACAAAGTGCAGCTGCCTAAATTCTCTCACAAACTCTTAAGTGATACACTGTCCAAGCAGAACTTCCCCTGACAACATGCAGATACCCCATGTAGGCAGCTATGGGCTGTCAGTTCCACTGGCTTGGCATTACATCCTCGAGGAGGTTTTTGCCTATACTAGAGTAGGGTAAGCTCAGAAGGGGAGTACATCACTCACAAAGGGAATGAAAAGATGGACAGACTATATATCATTTTACAATATGAAAAAAAAAAATCATGAATATTTATTATTCTGCAGTCATGATATAGAACTACCTCCTAAGTAACAAAATTCTTGGGGGAGAATAGGTCATACAGTACGTGCTGCTCTGGGAAGCAATGTCTGTTTTTAGATTTGTGAAAAATGCCTGGTAATACAGGGAAAAATAGTCTTCCTGTTCCCTGAACTCGTACTTTCAGCACTGTTTTTCTTCTTTTATGTTGTTACTCAATTTTTTTCTTTTTCAGTGTCTCCTTTCTCTTGCCTATGAAGATGACATAGAAAACCTTTCCAGAGGAGGAGGGAGGGGAGGGCAATTTTGAGTATCACCTCACTTTATCTGAGGGCTATGAACTATCTAGCAAGCAGGTAGGGGTTATTCTAATTGCTTGGATAGACAGCAAGCAATTCAAATAATTGGATATCTATGGTTTTAACATTTAACTCCTGGAATTGTTCCCAGAAAAGAAGAGCAAAACAATAAGCTTGGTTATACAAAACCTGTATCTCACAGTTATGCTTTCTGATATTTGACATGGTAAAAGGGACAATTAGAGCTTTTTCTGCAGCTGAAACATTAAGAATTTCTCATTTCTCATTGTTTTCATTCATCTCATTTTTTCGTGGTTAATAGGAGCTCATTTGTACTGAAGGCTTACAGGTGCATCTGCATTAGCATTTTAGTTTGGCTGGGAAATCTCTCCACAGTTCCTATTTATGGTGGTTTTGTTCCATCCTGGAGCAATCTTGAAGTGTCTTCCTCCTGGCTAAAATTAAGTGGGGATGTGGGCTCAAATGTGAGCACTATACTTTGTTTACTTTTACATGATTTACATGATTTGTTCTTCCATAATTTTTAAGGTACCACTAGACTTTCAAAGACAATATTTTAAGATCTAGCACGGATCTATATGATACACAGGATGTGTTTGAAGGAGATCTGGCTTTTACTTTTGCCTTAGTAATAGTAATAAAAACATTAAACTGCCTCTTAGAGGACTGCTGTGTAGGCAAAAGCTGTTTTTTCAAAAATTCAACTCATTTATCAGAAACAAAAGTCCCCAGTGACAACCTTATGGTCCTACTCTGGGAAATACCAAATTAGAAAAAAAACATGAATTAACTTTTAATCATTTGTTACTGAATTCTTTCTATTAAATATTGAATTATTATTCAACTATAGTATTTGCTTACAGTATTCTATGGAATCCAGTGAACACTAAAACTGAATAAACCTACACCTACCTTTCTCCTGATTAAAATTCATGTAAGCTAAGCATAGCAGCATCACAGAGTCACAGAGCACGCTGGGTTGGAAGGGACCCACAAGGATCTTTGAGTCCAACTCCCGGCCTGCACAGCACCATCCCCAAGAATCACGCCCTGTGCCTGAGAGCATTGTCCAGGCACTCCTTGAGCTCTGTCAGGCTTGGTGCTGTGACCACTGCCCTGGGGAGCCTGTTCCAGAGCCCAGCCACCCTCTGGGTGAAGAACCTTTTTCTAATACCCAACCTAAACCTCCCCTGACACAACTTCAGGCCATTCCCTTGGGTCCTATCACTGGTCAACACAGAGAAGTAACATTATAGCTCTCAAGCATGCCTACATATATATACATGTGTGTGTGTGTTGATATCTTGATAATTTGATAAAATAAAAGCTGCTTGGGCAGCATTATATTTAAAGAAAAACTTAAATTTAAAATTTAAAAAGCAGGCATACTGGGCCCTAGAGAAGTATTTAAACTAAACAAGATTTTTAATTGAAGCTGTACTAAAAGGATATGATGAAATTATTTTTTGCATGTCTTTATGTTTTCACATATAGATTGAGGTTTTGCATGGAGATTTTTCTTTCATGATAGCCTAACATCTTGCAAACAATTGCACAAGGGCATACTTCTCTATACAGCCACTTAGAGCCTGACTTGTTCCAGAAACACAGATCCCATTATCAAAGCTACAATCTATATGATACTTTAAAAAGAGACTGCAGATAATATTACATTGATCATCAGAAGTGTGACACAAACTCCTTGGTGTGTGTTGCCTCCACTATTGACAAAATGGATTCTGGGAGGAAGAATTATTGAGAATCTTACCATTCTGTATGTCTGAAGGCACCAATTCTTAAATATTTTCATTAAAAATAAAATCCATAGGAGACAATTAATACCATTCCTTGTGAGCTATGTAAGACTGATCCAGAGTTCTTTCTTAAGAGGGCACTTCAGCATGACTTAAATATTAAGAAAGCATCTACAATGCCACTACAGAGTAAGTCTTCAACACTTTCATCCTTGTAAATACATAAACAATAAATAGCTGCTAATGAGATCTACAAAACACCAACAAAAGTGAAAATAAGACTTTCCTTCTAAAAGATTTAACAAAGGTCTTCCTTTGATATTAGAAAAATATTCATAACTAGAAAAAAAAAAACAACAAGAGATTAGCTCAGTTGGTCAGAGCATACTGCTAATAACACCAGGGCGCAGCTTCGATCCCTGTATGGGCCATTCACTTAAGAGTTGGGACTTGATGATTTTTGTGGGTCCCTTCCAGCTCAGAATATTCTGTGATTAGAAAATTATTCTGTGTCTCAGGAATTGAGAATCTTAGTTCTATGAACAGCGCTGTTGAAATGCAGAAAATTGGCATCATATGGTGTCACAATTTGCTGGGTACAAGTGACACAAATGAAAGCTCTAGAACATAAGCAGTGGACCCACTGTTCAGCTTTCTGAGTTTTGAAATTTCTGAAACAAAAGATGGAACTCCCTCATGCTGATTAGATACTTAGTTAAGTGTGTAGCTCCTTGCAACATTCCTTGTGGGAACAAAATCTGCACAGGGATTGCATGGAGAAAGGATACATTGACAGAACATACATCTAGTAAGGGTCCATAATACACAGGAAACATCCAGGAGGTATTTGGGCTTAGGAGCACCTTGAGCTGCAAATACTTGAAGGCTGCAACATTCTGAAGAGGTGTCACTACAACACTGCCTTGCATTTACACAATTCCCAAAGGCATTCATAATTGGTGAAATATGGCACAGGGTAGATAAAACTTTAGTCTTAATCAGACCAACCATATTATTTTCCGTCCTTCTGTTTTTGCTAAACTTATGAGAACTTATTCATTTGGGTATCTGACATATTTTCAGAGTACAGCTTTGTATCTTCCCTAGACATGGTCACGTGCATTTTTCTTCTTCAAATGAGTAAGTACAAGCTCTCAGTGAACCCTCTGCATAAAGATAATTAATCTCTTACCATGTAAAAATTAGAAATGGAAAAAAAATCCATTCCATTTTTTCAGCTTTACTTTTAGAGCGACATTAAAATTATAAATACGAACTGCAAAGTCATATATGCAACTTGTATGATCAAGTGCTAAATTAGATATAACATATAATTGTTTCTGTGGATTTTCAAAGAAATTTTGAGAGTTTAAATTCTATTATATACTGAATTTGTACAATCAATCATTTCTACCAAAAGGTAGAAATGCTCCTGAAAGCAAGGAATATTTTAAATTTTTTTTAAACCTGCCATTATTTTTTAAATTTCTAATTACAAATCAAACTAGCCACTGTATAGAAGTTGCTCAATATAGCAAGAAGCAGATCCCAATATTTAATCTTGGTTTACAGTAAGATCTACTCAGTCATTTTGAAAATATTAATTAAATTGTCTCAGATTTATTGACCAAATCCTGCTGAAAAAAAGGGATTTTAAGGCTGGAATCAAAATTTTGGAACTCATAGTATCATATCCATTTCAGGAAAAATGACAGTGGCTATTCCAGAATGAGGGAGAGTGGTGTAAATGGCATCCGGGTTTAATTTTCCACAAGAACCAGCAGCAATGTACTCTGATATTTGTCACATTTACATTGTTCAGCTAGAGCAGTTTATAAAATAAATAGTTAATTAGGTAACGAGGAAGACTGACTCTACCCTAGTTTTTGGATATTCACCAAAGGTAAAGAAGGCTTGTTTTCCCATCCCCATTGTTTTATACAGCTTGGAACAACATAAAGAGAGAGGATTGTTACATCAAATGATACTAACATTACAATTGGACAGCAAGGAACAGAAAAAAAAAGAAAGAAATTTAGTGAGTTACATTCAAGAAAGAGAAACAAAAGTTGTCTTTAATTTCAGAATGGCCTTAGGAGAAAACATGATTTTTTTTTTTTTACTGGCTGGTATGTTATACAGAGAGCTTTTTGTTCTTCTTAAAAATGGACATCACTAATTATACTCAGAGGACTAAAATTTAAAAAAAAAACAGGCACATTTTTGCCATTTCTTTCAGTTCTACTCATCTCACATACAGCTTGGAAATACAGCTGATGAGTAGAAAGCTTTCTAAAAGATACAAAAAAGAAGAAGCACAAAAGCAATTAAATATGAATAAGAGGACATGACATAGGAAAAGAAAAATAGATTGAAATGTAAGATAGAATATTCTAAACAATGTTACAATCACTTTAAGTGCATTCACAGGGTAAAAGAAAACTATACCACAAACAATACTGTGAAGAATTGAAGACAGACATCCTAGTGCTCTTTGCCCATTGCCTTCAACTGGCAATGGCAATTCTTCTGACTGATGAAGTGATGAAGTTTTCAAGAGCATCCCTCCACAGCTTGGTCAATCTTATTTACAAAATGTCCAATGGAAAGATAAGGGAACAATACAAGACATGGTGACAGCCTAAAGACTAAAACAATCTGTCTCTGCAAATGGTCCTACTACAAGTTAAGGACTTATTTTGCTTCCAGCTCAGTACAAAAAACAAACCAAAAGAGCAAAGCAAGAGCTGACTAAGACGACCTTGGATAAATATGAGTATTGTCTACAGTTACTCTGCTTCTGAAATGGCTAATAGCTAATGGCTTCAAGAAATGGCTAAGAATTGTAAATGACACATTGCAGAAAATATTTTTTCTTTTGACCTTATATGTCAGGATAGTTATTACACCTAAGAAAAACTACCTTAAATTTAGATAAATAAGATTTTTAACAATATTTCCTCTAACATCTGCACTCATAACCTCAAAAGAAGGTTCCTCAAAAGAAGCTCCTTAGAAAATCCTTATTGACTTAATATGGTTGTATCTGTTGCTCCTTCAGGGAATCATTTTATGCTGTGATGAAGCATTTCTTTATCTCTGCTGACACCTCTCAAGGAAGGGCATGTATGCAACTAAATGAAGTGTAAAAGACTTTAACAGTTGCAAATATACATGTATACAAACATGCATACATTGCAATAAGCTTTACTTTATGCTTACTTCAGAGGCAAAAATTATTCGGAGAAATAGCAAACTCCTGAACCTGACAGCAGTGTAACACACGGTGTTCCTAAGGATCCTGAGGGAAATTTTCCCTACTTTCAGGATAGTCTCTAAAATTTTCACCTCCAGCATCATCACAGCATTGCTCTATTTCCTACCTTCCCCCTTGCCAGACTGAAGCCTAAGAATACAAGCTTGCAAAATTAGTAAATATATCTGAAATATTACAAAGGATTTTTCCCCCCTGTATTGTCAACAATAGCTAACAGGCTTTATTCATAGTCAGCAAATAATGTGGGTGAAAAGAACAAATCCTGTGAAGAATAGCCATTTGAATAAAAGATAGGAAGGCACATGGCTCAACACATGCCTCTCCACATGTGGTCAGATGGTTTAGAATTTGATTTGAAATGAGAATAAGCTGTTCATGTCATTTCTTGTTTAACACATCCAGTGCTATATCTGACAACAGATTCAAGATTCATATGCAGTTTTATTCCCTCAATATGCTTGCTACAAATGGTTTTATTTTCATATTACTTTACCATTTTTTAGCAATTGGAATGTCCACATAGTGAGTGACATGTGAGACAATATGTTTGGAGAGCAGGTTCAAATGAACAGCTAAGTGGGTTTATCCCAGATAATTCCCTTAAACCTGAGAAAAGACTGAATGACAACACTGCAGAGCATTACTGAAGGGCTGGGTAACACTGTAATGAACTTTAAGCTGGAATAATATTGCTAATTCCAAGGAGATTACTCTTAAATTCAGGTGGCATGAGATTTAGGGACATATTGTATCTAATGTTTCATCCAAGCACTAGCACAAACCAATTTCTTGAAAAAAGGTTTACTGTTTTTGAATGGAAAAGGAATTGGTTTCATCCACAGCTTTCCAAGTATTGCCTCAGGAGACTTTTCTGCCACTAGATTTTTGGACATGTGGACATATTTTTAACACTGACATATAATTACAATGACCTTCATGAAATACGTTGCTTTGAAACTGGACTGTGCAAAGAGAAGTTATAATATTAATCAACCCTACATTTCTCTGTCCCTGTGGGACAGACTGTGTCTTGCCTCGGATAACTGTGCAAAGGCTGAAATTAGAACCAGCAAAAAGAAGGGCAACATAAGGAGACCTCAACATGCTACATCTACTGGACAAATTAATTAGAACAAAAAATAAACTGTATGAGACAGTACTGAGTATGATCTCCAGTACCAGTTCCTGGAATAGCTCTACTATGTTTTACTAATTGCACTCAGTTTAACTTAGCTATAAATTATAGGAAAAAAACAGATAATCTTCACAGATGAAAAGGTTCAAATTAACCTGTTTTGAAGAATGCCTTGGAAGAATTTGTTGCATTGTAATCAGGAAGATGATGGAGAAAATTAAAAACCAGAGAAAGAAGGGCCTGAATTTTACCTTCCAAGCCATTTCATCTGCAGAAGAGTTTTCAATCAATGACAAGTTGGTACAGACTGGTAATATCAGTTTTTTTCTGATTTACCTCACTGGTGTCTGGATAAAGGAGATGGGAATGCTTTATGTACCAAAATTTTTTGATTATTATTATTTCATTACAAGCCAATATTTTCCCCTTTTTCTGTCACTAGAAAACCATGCTTTCTTTTGCTAATTAGTGATGTCTTGTTAACAGTGTACCATGAACTTGCATACAGCACACCTAAAAAAATGCCCTGGCAATAAAACTTACTTTCTTCTTCTTTGTATTCCTTTCATTTTGTATTTCACTTCTAGTCATTCAAAAACCTTTTATAATTGAAGAAATAAGGCTGGAAGAGTCTACATTGACATCAGAGCTTGATCTTTTCATGTCAGCTTTTACTATATGAGATACTTGAATGAGAAAGTAATGTTGACAAATATGTGACCTACTTCAAAGAGCAGCTTTGCTATTGTCACATAAATAAACATTCCTGCACCAGAATAAATTCTGACTGTATATAGGAATGCAACATAGCCAAGAATTTTAGGCCTCATCTCTGAAAGGAGTTTCTAATTATAATATGCTGTATTTCTTGATTCTCTCAAAAGAAAAAGACAAAACTGCAAGTTTTAAGCTTTTAGGGCTTCTTTTGCTTCTGAAATAGGGTTTGTGAGACAGAACAATTTCATCAGATATATACTGTAAAGAAAAATCTAAAGACACTTATAAAAGGAATTGAAGGT